TGCACACTTTTCGATGCACCTGTAAAATTATGAATCTTCAGTGATGGGTCCCTCAGAAACTAGTGCTAAGGTCGTCACAGAGAATTGATGATTTCAACTGAAGCCTCTCAGTGCATAGTGCATTGATTTTTATTCAAATTTCGTTTTTCCCCCTATCCATATGTGATCAACATTGTGTTGTTGGCACTTGAGCTATCGTTGGATTGATGGATGCGGACATGAAAAAAATATGAATATGATATAGGGCTTTGATTAAGACAACTTGAACATTTGATCAGTATTGAACAGGGGGAAAGAAATGGGTACAAAAATAATCAAAACGAACATCTAAGATACCTACTAAATGTTCATTCGTGATGGAAACGAACGCAGGTATGTTAAAATGTGAAATAATTATTTATTGAGGGATGATGAATAAATTATTTGACGTTGATTGATTCGTTGAATATTACACGACTATGTTGACGTGTCAGTTACGAACGGTGGGCTTCGACATCTACTCAATCCATCAAAAAATAAGAAATCTAGCTGTAATAAATACACAGACAAGAAAGGTTTAAAAAAAGATAGATGCCAGAATGATGACATTGACGAGGATTCAAATTTTGATTAAAAAATAATCAAACTGTGTTCGGAGGTCATATGTATTACAATTTTAGAAAGGTTTATCCACCAGCATGTTGTTGAACATTATTTTCAATTTCAGTCGGTTATGAGCATATGGTCATGGCAGGTTTCGTCCTTGTAGAACCTTTACATACTCTTGCAAATGCAGCAGCAGTAAAACTACAAACTATATTTCATAACGAGCACCCCACCGAAAAATCCTTTCACATCTTAGGAACCTCCTAAGATACAAGAATTCGACATAGCAAAATACAAGGAAATCTTATAACCTTTGCTTTTGGCTAATCCCTTTTCGCTACCAATGTGCCCTCCCCGGCCTCTCCGTGAGGTTAACAGAAAAACAAAGGTAGAGAGATAAACCCTTCTGTTCCTAGAAGTCGCCCCAGTATTTCTTCCATGCATGATTCCGGTCTCATGTTGAGGTTTCGGAATAAATATTAAATACTTCATCCCGGCTAAGTCCAACAGTAATTCCAGCCAAATCCCAGTTACATACCTGAAATCTCAGTTTAAACAATACAATTTTGATCTGTTACACATGTATCAAATATACAGTTGTTATTTATCAATTACTTTCATATATTATATTGACGAGGTTATAAGTATAGGCTAATTGTATCAATGTTTATGTAATATAATGTTGCACTATCTTGTATCCTAATTATGTAATTAATGTTTTCGATTTTGTTTGTTGAGGGAAAAAGTATTTCAAAACAAAATCACCCTCCCCCCCCCCCCCCAATAAAAGAAAACACACAGCCACTGTGGAATGGGCAACTCTCTTTGCTAGCACAGCGTGAGTTTGTGTGTGGGGGGGGAAGGGGAGGGGAATTGTGTGTATTTTGGACAAAGGTGTGAATTGATAGTTGATTTTTGATTTATTTTTTTATAGTTTACATTCTTAGTTTTTAATTTCTTGATGAAGGATATAAATCAAATGAACCATGCACTCATAGTGTTCGAGGCACCTGTAAAATTATGGATCTTCAGTGATAGGTCCCTCAGAAACTAGTGGTAAGCCAGTCAAAGATAATTCATGATTTCAACTGAAGCCTCTCAGTGCATAGTGAATTTGATTTTTATTGATTTTTTTTTCTTCTCCATATTTACTTTGATCAACATGGTGTTTTGGCACTGGAGCTATCGTTGGATCGATGGATGCGGTTAAAGGTAAAGACCAGTATTGGAAACGCCCCAATTTCAAAAAATGAAATGGAAGCTCTCATTACCAATCATGTGAAAGAAAATGTTTTGACTAATACATGATGATAAAAATTTGCCGGGAAACCGCCTACTAATTCATATATTTGGTAAATTTGTTTCTCTCATGGTCTGTTAGAGATATAGGGTAGTCCCATATACATCTTTCTGCGTATAGTGCTTGTAACTTTACAAAGAATAGGCCAAATTTCTTATCATTTTGATGATTCCAGAACCTTGCAGATGCTAGATGATCAACCTTTTCTGATCGATTCCACAACGTTTCTTTCACAATGCAATCGCATGACCATAACTGGTCTTTACCTTTAACATCGTTCATTTAGTTCATTAAGTTCATTTTATTTCTTCTTTCACAAACATTTGTACATAGAATTTCAAATAAAGTAACTGGAACAGCATATTATCAATATAACAAACATAATTTGAAGTGTAATAGTAATGTTCAACATACAACTCTTGTTATTAACTAAAGAAATTCTAAAAAGTTACTTATGTAAGATCATGTTTTTGTACAGGAAAAAAGAGGAGACCTTATAGAAGCTGGGCCTGTTAGAGCAAGGTCCCCAAACAGAATATAATACATTAATGCTTTGATTACTTTGAAGAAAAAAATACTTTACAACTAAACTACCCAAAATGAAAATGTTAAATTCCAACGGCATTTGAAAGATAATACTAATTTAGAACTTCCCTCATAACAAAAGGGCTTGCAAATGTATCTAAGTGAGAAAATAACGACTATTAGTTGTTAAATCGACTTAGGAGCTATAAAGCCAGTAAGTATAGTCTGATTTTCAGACCATTGTACCGAATGGTCGTTCGTTTTATGCTGCGCAAAGATTCAATCAGTTTAGTTTAGGCCATTACAAGAAGTGGGTTATTGATGTAGACAAATGCTCATGTACCCTTTACAGCTCATTTTATGTATGTTATTATCAAAGAAGGAAAAAAGCCAGTCAGTCACTCAATAGTGTCTGACAGTGAAGTCTAGCAAGTAAACGGGGTCCTTGTATGATTTAAATATTTGGACACTGCTAACGTTTAATTTTCACAGATAGGACATATATGACATATTCATAATTCCTGCAAAGTTCTACAGAATTTGATGTTGGCTGCAAAAGGAACACAGTATCTTTAACAGACTAGAAACAATTACACATGGGAAATATTTACAAAAGAGATAGATGAAAAGGAGAAAATGGGAAGAATATACACTGTTGGTCATAATGGTGGAATATTTATTTTTTACACCAATTAATTAAATGATTTTGACGATTATTTATTCCTAATAGATCTAGATAATAGTTTACATTCTCAGATTTTATTGAATGACAATTGGGGAGTGTTTGTTTTGCGTGACTGCTAAAGCATGTGTGTGCTACTAAGCTAATCAACTAGGGGACCTACGTCCTCAAGTCATAACTGACAGTTATGGGGATTAATGCCTCATAAAAGGGCACTAATATAGCACATCGACACGGTTTTTATCCTGGGGGCTCACAGTAACGAGGTCATTGCTTAGCCAATGAATCATGACTGTACGCAGCGGGCGCTAGGGTACGTCGACTCCCCCACAAAAACACAAAAAAAAAACACAAAGAAAATGCAATAGATGTTTAATAATTCATTGCATTTCCCCCAGTCCCCAACAGGAAAAATTCCTCGGTAGGGCCATGCATGGTTCAAGTCATGCCCACATAGAAGATTTTTTTTATGTTAGGGGTCGGGGCAAAATGCAATAAATTATTTAAAATTTATTGCATTTTCTTAGTTTTTTAGTTTTTGTGGGAGCGTCGACGTACCCTAGCGCCCGCTGCGTACATTCATGATCCATTGGCTAAGCAATGGCCTCGTTACTGTGAGCCCCAAGGATCAAAACCGTGTCGATGTGCTATATTAGTACCCTTTTATGAGGTATTAGTCCCCATTACGAACGTAGGTCCCCTAGTTGATTAGCATTGTAGCACACACATGCTTTAGCAGTCACGCAAAACAAACACTCCCCAATTGTCTTTCAATTACATCTGAGAATGTTTACTATTATCTAGATCTACTAGGAATAAATCATTGTCAAAATCATTCAATAAATTGGGGTTAAAATAATTATTCCACCATTATGACCAACAGTGTACATAAAGATGGAGAGCGAAAGCGCAAAATAGAACAAAACAACAATAGAGAAAAGTTGAGAAGGAAGAAAGATATATGTAGGAGAAATGGTGATGGGGAAGAAAAAGAAGAGAGAGAGGGAGATACAAGAAAAAGTACAAAAGAGCAAAACAGAAAAAACGAGTTTGGTAATAAATGAAGAAATGTTGGTAAGGTATGGTAAGGGCCAGCCTGGAAAAGAGGGTGGGGGGGGGGGGGGGGGGGGGGGGGGGGGAGAGAGAGACAATGAAGCAAACAAAATAAAAAAAATACATACTATATCATATGTGATGACATATCGTTGGTGTATTATGTAGATTCATCATATTTAGATTCTGAATATTGGCAGCAAATAATATGATATTGAAAAGGATGCAATTCATAGTTGTACACAATAATTGTCAGTTAATATATTCTCTCTTTCTCCCTCTCCCTCCCCTCTCTCTCTCTCTCTCTCTCCTCCTCTCTTTCTCTCTATCTCTCTCCCCCCCCCCTCTCTCTCTCTCTCTCGCTCTCGTGCATAAAGAAAATATGAATATAATATTCGGCTTTGATTATTAAGGACAAATTGAACATTTTATCAGTATTAAACAGAGAGAAAGAAATGGGGAGGAAATGAATCAAAACGAACATTTAAGATACATGAACGTGGTGACTTGTCGGTTACTAACAGCAGGATTTGACATCTACTCAATCCATCAACAAATATGCCAGAATGATGACATTGACGATGATTACAATTTTGAATAAAAAATAATCAAACTGTGTTCCGAGGTCATATTTAATAACATTTTAGAAAGTTTTATCCACCATCATGTTGTTGAGCACTATTCGCAATTTAATTTGAATGCGGTGACTTGTCGGTTACGAACAGAAGGTCATTGCAGGCTTCGATTTTCTATAATACTAGAAGCTATCTAGACAGTACTTCAACAGAAAGCTGGATAGAGACACTTCGTCACATCAAGCTACGAGGGAGTATATCATCATCTCACCGAATTCTACTTCGAACACCGCATCGAAATCAGGTAGGCCCAAATGCCCTTACGTTATTCCTGTTGCACATGAGACGTCTTTCTGACTGCGTCAGTTTGTAATTGTATTGATAATGATATCGATTATTTTGTAGCGCTAAAACAAAGAATACCTTAGATGCTGCTTATAAGTATCGGCTTGCATGGTGATGTAGATATACAGTAGGCTTACACACACACTCAAGAAAGAAAGATTACCGACAGTCTTTTTCAGGACTCCCCAGTCCTTCCCCTCTCACACGGTGCAACCGTAAGTCTTCTCTATACAAAGTAACAGAATGAGAAGAGAAAAAACACAAAACTCTTAAATAGGTAAATTATACTTTATTATTAAGGGAAGAAGTACATTTTAGGTATTATGTCCCTTTTGCAGCCAACCTCAAATTCTGTAGAACTTTGCAGGAATTATGAATATGTCATGTTTGTCCTATCTGTGAAATTTGAACGTTAGCTGTGTCCTAATATTCAAATTATGCAAGAAAACCTGTTTACTTGCTAGACTTCACTGTCAGACACTATTGAGTGACTGACTGGCTTTTTTCTTCTTTGGTAATATAATAACATACATACAATGAGCTGTAAAGGGTACATGAGCATTTTGTCTCCATCAATAACCCACTTCTTGTGATGGCCAAAATTAAACTGATTGAATCTTTGCGCAGCATAAAACGTATGACCATTCGGTACAATGGTCTGAAAATCAAGACTATTACTTATTGGCTCTATAGCTCCTAAGTCGATTTGACAACTAATAGTCGTTATTTTCCCACTAAAAGGCATTTTCAAGCACCACCTTTTTTTAGAGAAGTTCTGAATTAGAAATATCTTTCAAATGCCGTTAGAATATAACATTTTCATTTTTTTTTGGCCTGCAAATGGGACATAGTACCTTCATTGGATCTTTTGAAAGTGGCAAGACAGCTTAATTTTCTGATGGAAAGGGGAATAATGTTCTACGTTTTTAAAGCCGCCATTGTATAAAGTTTCTTGGTAGTTGATAGTCTGGATCTGGGTATAATTAATATAAATTCAGTTGTTGAGCGTAGGTCTGCATTTCTTCAGACATTTCTTCGCCTCTTGTGCAGCGGACTTTTAGTGTACGTTAATCAGGAGCTATGCTTTGGCAACTCTGAGGGGTGCGATGGCCCAGTGATCTCGTAATCTCACTGAGCGGCGAATGCTTACAAACGTTGCGAATTTTGGCAGTTGGCGACTAGTATTAGCCACCATAAGAAAATGTTAGCAATAGTATTAGCGAAGTTTAGCAACTATTTGGCAATACTTTGCCACTATTTATGAATGTTTTGGACCTTTTACGAACCATGGCGAAACCCCAAATTCGCTACATTCGTGGCAAGCTTTCACCGCTCAGATAATGCCTCAGTCACACCTTTGCGTATTTGGCTTGCGTATTGCTGCGTATTTATGGCAAGCCGCTTTAACATTTATTCCTATTTCTTGATATCAAGAAATCGATCAAGAATTCGATTTCTTGATATCAAGAAATCGATCAAGAATTCGATTTCTTGATATCAAGAAATAGGAATAACTGTTAAAACGGCTTGCCATAAATACGCAGCAATACGCAAGCCAAATACGCAAAGATATGGCCCAGTCAAGGGTGTCGATTTGTATCCGTGGTTGGGGGATGATAGGTGCCAAAATATTTTCGGCAATGGATCAAAGCAACCAAGAGGTAGAAGCGTGTGGCAGGTTGCACCCCTCCCTTACAGGTTATTAACTTTTTGAAGTCACCCTCAATAAAGATAACATTTCAGAGAATATAAGAGTGGAAATAATATTAAAAACATGCTAAATGTTAGTCCTGACTCTTGTCTGCAGTGTAGGCCTACCAGACTGGTATCATCTATTTTTATACGAAGTTTAGACATTACCAAAACAAAAATCCAATGGTGAGGGATATCAACTTGTGAAAGTATTATGATACCAGTGGGCAAATGCATTAATAAGCAACCAGGAAAGGTTTATGTAGACAGAAAATTGTTTATTTCCTGGTGATAGAAACATACATTTTATGAATATTGATGTCTCCAAACAACATTAATCGTGAAAAACCCATTGCAATATTCTGTGTAAGGAGATCTCAAAAAACATAGTTCTCATTAGTAAATGAAAAACATATTGCTTTTGGTTCTTCATTTGACTCTCTTCCTTCTTTAATTAAACCAACTGAATCCTCTCTGGGGGAAACTCAATTCAATAAAACAGAATATCACTGATGCAAAATTTGGTTCTCAAAATGACAGAAATTTTTCTCTTCAGATCTCATACAATCTGTCTGTTTCTTAGAAAACATAATATAAAACTTACGTTCCAACAACCAAACAACAAACTTCCATTATCTCCTTCTTCACCCAGACATACTTATCATAACAGATACGCTCTAAAATATAAGCATAATATTCCCCTAAGGCCCTGACCAGAGCACTATTTTTTCTTCAAAAACTATAACCAGTCTTGAGCTGCATTATTATTGGAAGGGCGTTATAAACAAAACTTCAAACTTAATAACATTCTAACCTTCAAAAACACCTTAACTATTTTATCCCTTCACGTTTGACTACAATAGATAGGCTTACATCAGCTTTTCAATAAAACAAAAATAAGTTGTGACATAATAATCTTTCTCCAAAATATCGAACTGGAGTATTCTGTTGTACTACTTGTTTATGTACATACAAAGAGCTTATTTTCAAGAGGCACTAGATCCATGTGTGTAACTCAGGATAGACCGAGCGACTTTCAACGTGGGGGGGGGGGGCACCAAGAAAAAATGGCACTTTCTGGGGGAAAAGGGCACCTACAAAGGGAAATATCAAAGCGAAAAGTACAATTTTTTTAGATATTTGTATATACCCCTACATTGTGATTACAACTATCAGGGATGATTTCAATATTTTTTTCACTTTATACATTATAGAAGATATTGCTTAAGCATCATACTTTGCAGTTGGGTTTGATTGTTGACAAAATTGTTTGCGAGCGAGCGAGGAAAATTTTTACGACGTGTGAGGTCGCAGTGCGAAAAATAACATCTTTTAAAGAGAAAAATCCAATCCTAATGGGGTTATAAGCACATTGGCATAACGGAAGACTGACAAGACCTTTGATAAGTAACGTAAGTAAATCATCTTTAGATGCGTGCGAACTTTAGGGGAAATTGCTCTTATCGCTTGAAATTAGCTAGGGCGCGTTTAATGATGAGAGGAAAAGGGGACACTTATCAGGAAAGAAAAGGAGCATGTGCCAAAGTACAAAGCATAATTATCAGAGGTGAAAATGGGGCATTTCTTACACCCTCAAAAAGAGGCACTCACCAGGGATGGAAAAAGTCAGTCATGAGAATAGGAAATTTGGCATTTGTCGACGGAAAAGGGGCATTTACAAGATATTATTATATATTGTTAAAAGGGAAATTATCAGAGGTGAAAAAGGCACTTATCGCATTTGAAAAGAGGCATTGACCAGATATGAAAAGGGGCACTTATGTGAATGAAAAAGGGGCACTTGTAATAAAGGAAAATGTGCATTAGTTTAAAAAAATGTGCACCGATCAGATTCTAAAGGGGAATTTATCGGAGGTGAAGGGGGCATCTATCTGAAGTGAAAAGAAGTAACTTCTCGTACCTGAAAAGGGTTAATTACCAAAGACGGGGCACTTATGATAAGGGGAAAGGGCTCTTTTTTAATGGGGAGCTTATCATTAGGAAAAGGAACAATTATCAGAGGTGAAGGGGGCACTTATCAAAAGTGAAAAGAGGCACTTCTCGTACATAACTAGGGGCACTTACTAGAGATTAAAAAGGGCACTTATGAGAATGGAAAATGGACACTTATTGCAAATGAAAATGGGAACTTGTCGAAGGAAAAGGGGCACGTGTCCAAATAAAAGGGGCGTTTATCAGAGTTGAAAGGGGGAAGGGGAACTTTTACAAATTAATAGGGGCACTTTTCAAAGTAAAAGGGGCACTTCTTAATAAGTTAAAGGGGCACTTTTCCTATGTAAAACGGGGCACTTTCAGGTGCTTTCAAAACAATGCCCTCCTTGCCCCCCAGGATGGCCACCTTTGGTGCAACGTAAGAAAGAACTCTTTGTTTACCTGATTTTGTTCAGGTGTCTATGGAAAATTGTTATTAAAAGATGCATGTGTTCATAATTTCTCTCGTAATTAAGGTTAATAATTTTGTTCAAGGTAAATAGAGGAAATTGTATATCATTATCTCAATTTGCTATCAAAAGATGTTTCTCCTTTCGGAAAATAGCTCTTCAAATGTTTTATATGCAGAGATGTAAATAAACAAAGAAATGGATGAAATTAATAAAACGAAATAGATACTGAGTATGAATCAGGGAACAAACTGAAAGTTTCGTTTCCTACATGCTGCCATTTGGACAAAACCGTCTTCCTCTTCAATTATACAATATTTTATTACTTTACTTGCATTATGAAAATAGCGCATCATCAACCCAACATAGCTTTAAAAAATCACAGATTGAACTGGCCAAAAGTCATGTGATATTCTTGCTCAGATGCTTTCCTTTACCTTTAAGAGTTCTTTATATTGAGGAATTGGTTGATTTTTTTTTCTTGGCAATAATGCCCAAATTTAAAGAGTTAAACATATACACGACTGTAACTTTTAGCGCGTTTTGAAAATGTTTTAGGAAATATCAGGAAATAAAATGAGTGAAAAAACAAACAATAAAGATAAAATAAAGTGAATTTTAAAAAGGGTGAAAGGAAACAATATAACAACTACTGAACTATCTTATAAGTCATACTAATGTCCGATCCGAAAATCTTTCTCCTTGTCTCCGATCTCATCACGAATTCGTCACAGAGTCCATATTGGCTCTCATCATTAATTTTTCTCTTCATTCTTTTTTTTGTTGATGATGAATTATTGGGGGATGATTGTACAGGCCATTCCCCCCACCTGAAATATTGGGGGATATATCCTGTGAGATATTGCTGTGAGAATGAAAATATGCATTGTACATGCACACATTTTACTTGCGAGTGGTGAACAGTACGAAATAAAGATATTTTGAAACAATATTGAATATTACTCAGGACTTGATTTTGAAAAAAGGGAAACATTGCAAGTTTTACTGTTCTGCTTTGATTCATATGGTGGATAGGTCACGTGACGTATAAGATGGCGCCAATCACACGGAGAGTGTATACTACATACTTGATGCTGGCCATGCTGTGTGTACTAGCTACATACCAGGGTGCATCAGGAGGTGCCAACGATGTCGAGGTAAAATACGCAATAAGATTATAGTGCTCTACAGTACGTAACGAAAAAGGTTCAAACTTTGAAAATATCCTCCAAAATGATCATTGAAGGATATCTGCATGATTTTAAATGACAAAATGATGGATGAGGGTCTATTCAATAGGATGGCACTAAAAGTATTGACAATGTGTTACGCTTGAGTGAGCATTCGCTTATTTAGATGAATATAAAAACTCGCAATCGTGTAATAGAAATCAAGCAGATATAGTGAAAGTATCATTTTAGAGCATATTTTCAAAGTGTGGACTTTTTTTTATACACATTGTAAACAATATGTACTAAAATCGTTTGAAATGGAAATCCACGCGAAAAATTGTGATTCAAAAGAGTTATTCGATCACTTCTTTAGAGTTGATTCAGCTCCAAAGAAAGTGATTCCTAATTATGACACCTTTGAAAATGGATTTCCACTCCTCTCCATTAATATAATAGTTTTGTTTAAAAATAAGTGTAATATAAGTCTTCTAATAAAGATAAGAACATATGGAAATGAAAGGTGATAAATGATTTATATACCCGCGTTATATATTGCAACTGGCCTTGATCTGACTCCATTCACCCATCACTCATCCAATAATTCCTTATTTCATTTATTCATTCATTCATTCATTCATTCATTAAATAGACCTTGTATCGTTACAGTCTAAGTTTCGTCAAATGTGTCATGACAAGATCCTCGCCTCCTCACTGTTATGTAAAAATAAGTAAAGGAAATGCGTGCTTTTGAAATTAAATCATATTTAACAAGTAGAACTGTAATATTCTCATTTTATATTTTGTATCCAGGAATTCACGTCTGCCTCCCCATCAACGAACAGGAACATATTGGAAGCCGTGAGTATACTGACCTGTAATATATCTTCCTCGCCGTCTTCTGATTTTCACATTTACTTTTTGTCTGTCATAATCTTCCTTTATCTGATCTGTACCTGTTGCCCATGAAATAAATTGTTATCCTCATATGACTGCTTATACAGCAGAGAATTCGAAGAGCTTGACATTGCTAAACAGGGCATTGTTCCTAACTTCCTACGATAAACTCACTTTACCATTTAATCCTTGATTACGCATGAAGTCTATCACTTTGCTTACCAACAAAATGAATTGTTACTCGTTGATATTTATCTCAATGTTTCACTATTTTTTATTTCAGGTCCTGTGCAACACAAGGAGAATCGTGTCGCCTCACTGGTAGTACTAGGTGTTGTGGTAATCTGGGGTGTGAAACACACAACGGAGAGAAGTGCCAGGGATCACAATCAAGCTGTATTTGTAGAAACCCATACACCACCAATCCTGGCTTCTAGAAACCTGCTAGAAATGACTGATCATCATGATTGAAAGTGCTCAGAGCTAGCCTTATATCAATTTACATTTACATGTAGTTAATGCTGATATAATTTGTAGGCATATACCAGCTCCCCCATACGTAAATTAATTATGTACATGAATTTTGGTGATTGGTGAGATATTAATCTTTATGTGAGGTAATTTGTACGTGATATCTGTTATTTGCAGACACTCTATTAACTTGTCAACCACAATTACAGGATGCGAGCCATACTGAACTTACACCATACGTTCATAGACACTGTAATATTTTCAATACTTATCTATAATATGTTATTTAGAAATTGTCAAGCTTGTTTAGACTTCTAGCGGAAGAAATGTTGTATAGTTTTCGAAAAGAGTGTGTGCTTGAAGACTACTCAACCACTGTTTCACCTGCGATATCATAGACCATTATGAAAATGTATTTAGAGAAATATCGAATTATAGGTAGTATGATATCATTTATTAATTTAGCATTTCACTTGTCAATCGTTTACTCTTAAGATATATTTTACTGTTATTTTTAGAGATAGTTTTGGTGTTATAGATACTGTTATTGATATTTATATCACGACATACTTTAAACGATGTAATAAAAACATAGAATATTGTATACGTCAATTGTTATAGGCTTTAATAGTTGCAGTATACAGTGCGTCCCAGAAAAAAACAAAACCGAAAATAATCGTTGTTTTATCATAACTTAATCACAATTATGATTTATAAATGACACACATTTGTAAAGCTTAGATCCTCCTCTTTCGTGCTATGCAACTCATACGATGCACATTCCACGCATGAGGGATTAAAAACAATTTGAAGAAAGGGTACCAAAAAGTCATTTGGTGAACGGCATCTGAATTTCAAAGAGAAAATCACATTTCCAGAAAGTTCATTTTCTACCCTTTCATATGACACCTCAATCAGGACAAATGAGCAAGGAATAACAAAGTTCTGTTTTTTAAAGTAATGCTTGCATTTCCATACTTTTATTAAACGAATCCGTTCCACTGGCTGCCTGCCTGAACAACAAAGAAGACGAAAGACTTCACGCAGACTTCATCTGATGCTATAGGGTACCCAAGATATTTAAAAGTGTGGACTTGCTTTATTGCTACCTATTATTGAGATTGCATGGGGGTGCCTGAGGCTTAATTATTTTAATATTATCATACACTCTGTTTTCATTTTGTTTAAAGGAAATAAATGAATAAATGAGAAGGATATCAAAGTGTTTAAAATGTTGAATCTTCATTGAGCTTCGCACGTTCTAAATGTTAACAATGTATTTTGAATGACGTCGTAATGAAGATAATAATCATACTACATTTTTTTAAAGGCGGGTATACATGTACCACTTTTCTTTGGATACGATATGGTTATTCCGCTATCATCAGTACAATTGGATCAATATGATCTAAATTATGTGAAAATTAATCCGCGCAAAATACATTTACAGGTACGGAGTTTCTTTCGACTTTTCTTTTCAGATAACTGTTCACTCATCTCTGTACGTGGTGTCTGGAAAAAATGGTGATAGTGGTGGTGGTGGTGGTGGTGGTGGTGGTGATTGTTGTTGCGGTAGTGTTGGCCGTGTTGGTGGTGGTGATGGTAGTGGAGGGGGCTGTGGATGTAGTAATGGTAGGATTCTAGAACTTTACTGATTTTATTGTATGAGCATTCAAGAGCTGAAGATGGCGCTATCTCGATTTTGTATTTGAGTCATCTGAGTCCACCGTTTGCCAATCGCTACCCGTCTGACATTATTGGAGATCAGAAAATTAAATCGGCCAGATTCTGAACTATGTTACTTGTGATATCAGTGATGAGATGGGCGTGGTGGTGGTTGTGGTGTTGACAATGATAATGATGATGATGATGATAATAATGGTGATGATGAAAATAATGATAATGATGATGATGATGATGATGATGATGGTAGTGGTGATGGTGGTGGTGAAGGTGAGGGTAGTGGTGGTGGTGGTGGTGGTAGTGGAGGTTGTGGTATGGTCCTATAGTGTACTTCGGGTAACTCCTACCAATCGTTCCTACGTTCCCCCTTTCAAATTTATCTCTTGGTATCTTTCCCCAGCTCTATCCTATTTTGGAGGCGCAAACCCTCAGAAGGTTCTGTATAGAACACTGATTTCATTGTGTAAGAGAGCTCCCACCAACAATGACTCCTGCAAATCCAACGCTTGTCCTAGGACTAACCGACATATATTGAAACAACAATTCAACTGAATGGATTCAGTTTTCACACTCACACTTCCAAAAAGTGTACATGTGATGTAATCGTACTTTCTAAGATAACTATTGATCATTATTTATATTTCTCTGTTTCGGTCCTTTTTTCCGTCTTCTTCTTTCCTCTCTTTTGTTTCCCTTTTCATCAGGTTATCATTGTTAGCTTTCTCTTTTTGCTTTTTCTTCCCCCTTCTTAATATTCTTCTGTATTCTTCTTTGGCCATGTCATCTTCTTCCATCCCTCATAGACTTCGTCTTCATTTTCATCTTCATCTTCCTCCTCCTCCTCCTCCTCCTTCTCCTCCTCTAGCTCCTCCCCTTCCTCTCCCTCTTCCTCCTCCTCTTCCTCTTCCTCCTCCTCATCCTTCTTCTTCTTCCTCTTTCTCGTCTCCTTCTTCTTCTTGTTCTTGTTCTTGTTCTTCTTCTTCTTCTTCTTCTTCTTCTTCTTCTTCTTCGTCTTCTTCTTCTCCTTCTTCTTATTCTTCTTCTTCTTCTTCTTCTTCTTCTTGCTCTTCCTCACTTGCTTTTAGCTTGCATTGGGACTCTGTCAAATACAATTTGTCATTCGTTATTTGAAGCAGTATAAAATACATGCCTTTTTATGGCATGTCCTTTCGTGATTGTTTGACTCGTAACACTTCATCAGGATGAGACAAAGCACATTAATGTCATGGTCGTCATGGTAACATGTAATTGATTGGTCCCTAGGATGCCATCACGGTGGAAGAGGTCATGAGAGCACCTATCACGTGACATGTCCCAAGTAACAATGATCAACGAGGCGACGTTGATAATCTTTCGTCTATCATTTATCTATAGAACCATGGCGCTGAAGGACGAAGTATGTGACAGTGTAGACCTACATTTTGGATCTATATCTTTTTCATACCATGACAGACAGCTCTCATTTATACGGAATCATCTTTTCCTATTTTCTCTATTGACTATTCTCTCGATCTTTGTTATTCTTCCTTTCACACAGCTTTTAGACTAGAATTGTTACCAGCTATATAGATGAGAATATATCATAAAATATTTAATAGCATGGGGAATATTCATAAGAAAAGGAGCTATACAATAATTAATGAATAGAGTGCGCCTCTTGAAATCTAACTAATAGTATTAATAGAAGAAATTAATTCTTTGGACGTGAAATGAAAATGATTATATTGAGTACCAATCGATGTATCTACCACATTGGTGAATAGCGCCATCTGTAGCTTGATATTTATGCCTAGTTGACTCCTACATTATGACCTAACGAATTTTAAAGGATTCTTGTGATGATCCCGTGAAATACATAAGAGTCTCTTACCCATCACCAATCTTTGAAATTCATCTCTCTTTTTTAAAATAATGATAATCCTCTTTAGGTTTCCTATGTTCTATCTAGGGATAAACTATCTACATGTACATAACCACCATGTTTTATATCAGCATTGATGTTGAACTTCCCTTCTCAACCCTATTTTCCATTTTCAAATTATCATCATTTTACAGCGTGTTGTAAGTATCAGAAGATGAAGCAGTGATGCAATCATAACATGATATTAACATGCACATGGAAGAAAACCCGTTACAGGTTAAGCGAGTTATAGCGAGTTAGCGGTTAGGAAAATCATTAAAGCTTTTATCAGGTAGATGAATATCTCGAGTTATTGAAGGTCAGCTAAGTTAGCGAACATGAAAATATATCACAGTTGACAAAGAGCTATCCATATTGTACCCTTAAAAACGGCAATGGAGCAAGCAATAAAACTGAGTCTTTGATCTCAGACTACGAATCTCCTCGACCCCCAGCATGTTATAGATGTAAGTTATTCAATTGTTTTTGCTAGTCTATGCTCGAGGGAGTTTAGTCCCTGCGGATCTACAAAAGTGAATGTTGTTGTTGTTGTTTTAATTTATAGGCGTTTTTCATTCAGAAGTGAATATTTACGCCTCTTCTCTCAGGATTTTTATTCCTTTAAAATTAGATTTACTTTTTTTGATATATAGATTTGGATAAATTGGATTTTTAAAAGCTAAACTTTTATTTAATGATGAAGAATTCAGTGGCTGGCGAGCAAAAGGCTTATCGGCTATATAGGACGCCCAAGGACCAGTGCAGTAACTTATTCTCTTGTCCAGTCGCCATCACGATTTACTTTTCAGATCACTAGAGATAGTAGAGATATAAATGTCTGAGTTTCGATGAATGGATATTCCTTCTTTGGTCACTGGGTGAGTGTAATGCTACGGTCACAAAGGTTCG